ACTTCTGGCTGCCTGGGGTTCACAGGTTTGGATCCTGGGCGCAGACCTACTCACTGCTCATCAAGCCACGCTGTGGCAGGCGTCCCACGTATAAAGTAGAGAGAGATGGGCATGGATGTTAGCCCAGGGCCAATGTTCCACAGCAAAAAGAGGAGCATTGGCATGGATGTTAGCTCAGGGCTAGTCTTCCTCACACACACACACACACACACACACACACACACACACACACAGTCAGTGTGACCCAGAAATGCTAAGTGATCTGTGTTCAAGTGTAAGAGGGAAAGTGGATCAAAGTAGCACTACCACACAGGTCTAAGGAGCACAGTCAGCACGTCTGCTTTTTTGTCCAGTTCTTTGCTCTCTGTTCTTCCTATACCATCACAGGTTGTAAACTGCATTATGCGCGTTAAGTCCATTGCTATGCAATAAACAAATATTTTCCATTCGTTCTTGCAATTCATGCATCCCTGGCCCTTGTCCCAGGTCCGTAGCCCAGCTCCTCCGACTGCTCCCAGCTGGGGGTCATCAGTGCGGCTGCGCTGAGTTGCGGCCCCGGCAGAGGCAGAGCACAGCACTCCCTGCTCTGTGGCGGGGGATGAAGAGCTCACGGGGCCCTGACCCCCAAGGAACAAGGAGAGAAAAGGAGCGATTAAAAGCGGCTGATGCCCTGTGAGCACGTGCCCTGGCCCCGCCCCGTGCTGAGCACATGGCTCGAGTTATGTCAGTTAATCCTCACTCTACCCTGAGCCAGGATCTCATCACCCCCGGGGGTCATGAGCTCCACGAGGCAGGGGCGTGCTCGGCGCCCTGTGCACCCCAGTGGCTACGACGGGGCTCCATCAGCGCCTGCTGAATGCGCGTCAGCCCCCGTCCCGACAACCAGGGAAGAGAGGGCCGCCTACCTGAGGAAGGCTGTCACCACCCACGGGTGAGCCTCCAGGTGGCCCCACGGACATTCCCGCGGAGGATTCCCTCTGACTCAGGCTCTTGACCGCTGTCCCTCGTGGGGGGTTAGTAAAGTCAGTTTGCCCTGAGGCAGCCTCACCGATGAAGCCAACCTACAGAAGCTGCAGCGACATTGGTGTACAGCCTCCAGTTCTAGATCCTTCTATATGGCCAAAGTTCCTCTCCGCAAGCGCACAGCCTCACATTTATAAAGCCCTGCGCACAGGCTAGGCTCCCCAGGAGCAGGCCGAGAGGAGACCACCCTGCAGCATGCGGTTCAGGCCCTGGTCTTGGGGTGGACGCCTGTGGCGGGGCAGAGGGAGGCTGGGGCCGTCTCGGCGGAGGGGCTGGCGGTGGAGGCGGGGTAAGTGGGAGTCGATGGGCCAGGGGCCCCTCGGAGGCGTCCACAGCTGAAGAAGTCGGGGAGCGGGTGTCCATGCCAACGCAGAAGCGCTTCTGAAAACACTCATGTGTGACTCAAAGGGCGCGTGTTTGATTGTAATGAAAGTGGAGACAAGTATTCCGCTGAAGGGGCCGCGGGCAAGTGAAGCGGAGAGCTCCGAGACCCGGGAGAAAGAAACGAGAGGCAGGGAGGCGGCAGGAGGGCGCGCCGCACGTTACCTGGTGCCTCGAGAAAGTTCCCACCTTGCGAAGGTGCTTTCTCTCCCCAGAGCCGGGACGAGGGCGGCCCACCTCACTCATGAAGCGTTTCCTGTGGGGGGCTCTGGAGACACTGGCTTGAGACGGGCAGTCCATCTAGACCCCTCTGAGGAAGGCGACAGGAAGGTGTGTGCACATGTGCCTGTGGGAGGGAGAGGAAGACCCTAGAACGGTTATGTATCTTTCACACTGAAGGACCAGGTCAAGAAGATGAACAGACTGACAGAAGAGTGGAAGACCAGCCAAGTCTTCTTTCTTTTTTTAAAATTATGGTAAAATATATGACCTAAAAGTTACATTTTAAGGTGTACAATTCAGTGGCATTAAGTACATCCACAATGTTGTACAACAATCACCATTATCTAGTTCCAGAACTTTTCATCACCCCAAAAGGAAATCCCCTTCCCATTAAGCAGTGGCTCCCCATTTCCCCAACCCCTGGCTTTCTGTCTGTATTTGCCTATTTTGGACATTTCATATAAATGGAATCATATAAAATGTAGTTTTTTGTGCCTGGCTTCTGTTGCTTAGCATAATGTTTTCAAGGCTCATCCCTGTTGTAGCATGGATAGATACTTCATTCCTTTTTTTTTTACGGCTCAATAATATTCCACCATGTGAATACACCACATTTTGTTTATCCATTCATCCATTGGTGGCCATCTGGATTGTTTCCACCTTTCGGCTATTGTGAATAGTGCTGCTATGAATATTCACACACAAGTTTTTGTTTGAATACCTATTTTCAATTCTTTTAGGTATATACCTAAGAGGGGAATCGCTGAGTTCTATGGTAACTATTCTATGTTTAACTTATTGAGGAAATACTCCTCCTTTTTATAGATTTTCATAGAATCACAGGGCTGGAAGGGACCTCAAAAGTGACCTAGAATGGTGTTTCTCAGACTTTTGGATTTCACACATCAGTAAAACTAAAACTACCATCACCACCACTCCCTTTCCCAGCAGGAGGGACTTGCGTCGGGATCAGGCCAACCCTGTAAAATGCATATATTTAGTCTCAGGTAAACGCAATGCCTTGCACTTGTTTTTCCCACATCACCTCCACCATTGGGTCGTTTGGGAACCACTTGCCTGGTCCAATCCTCATCCAAAGTCTGAATTCCCCTCTGCAGCTGCCGTTGCATAGGCGGCCCAGCCTCCGGGTGCACTTCTGGCAGATGCTCCCCCCAGGTAGCCCTGGTTCCTGTCATGTTCTTCCTCCTGGAGAGCTGGCCCTACTCCTGCAGTCTCCCCACTATCTTTGCTCCACCCTCTGGGGCCCCACAGACCTTGGCTTCACTCCACCTGCCTCCACTGGGACTCATGCCACCCTCTGCTCACCGAACGCTCTACTGGGCTGAGCTGGCCAATGTGGGATACTGACACCGGGACAGGTGGCGACCAGGCAGCCTCCTGACTGGTAAGAATTCTTAGAGGAAACAAAGAGAGTCTCCAAGCTATTTATAGTATGTCATAAGCGCTTCGCTCCAAAAATTGTGAACAAACTGAACAGACTAAATAACAACATTCTATTTGTTTTCTTGTTGGCTGGGCTCACACCAATTCCACGTTTCTCTGTGCTGACAGGCAGCAGGACAGCAGGGGGAAGACCTGGACTCCTCACGAGAGTGAGATGCGAGACCTGCATTCAAACCGACTGTCCCTGGTTAACTGGGTGACCTTGGCGAGGTTAGTTAATATCTGTGTGCCACAGTCACTGAATTAGTAGAAAGGGGATTTTAAGGCTGCCCCACAGGGTTATGTGAAGGAGACGAGGCAACTTACAGGAGCAGCCGGCACCCCCAGGCTCCATAATAATCACTGGAAGAAATCTGAGGAGCATTTTATGCCTTCAATGAGCAAAATCAAAGTGAGAAGACAAATTCACCATTACTGAATATATGTTTGGCAAACAAAAATCCTTCAAAGAATCAAGTCCCTGTTTGGAAAGAACAATAAAATAATAATAAAAAGAAGTGTTTGACGGTGAGGAACAGGGAAACCCACTCTGTAGGGCTGAAACAAAATGGCATCCTGGTCCCTTACCAAAGGACACGGTGGCCCTGCTGAGGACGTAGGGTAAGGCTGAACCCTACCCCAGCCACTTGGAGGTGGGACAAGGTCTCCCTGAAGAGGACGGCCAGGCCTGTGTCTGTGATCCCTACGGAGGTGGCTCTGATCGGAACTGGGGAACTGAGATGACCTTACACCGACGGGAGCTGGCTCACCCCCCTGGGCAGGGCCCTGGAGAGGGGGCCCTGGGTGGCAGGGAGATGTGGCCCCTGCCTCAGGAAGGAGGCTGAAGATGTGAACGGGGCTTTCTGCTCGCTCCCACCACCTGTGATACTGTTTATCTCCCTCTATCGTCCCCCAGCTTTGGTGAGTCACTGTCTGCAGAGACTGGCTTCTCAGCCAAGGGGCCGAGATTTCAGGCAGGGTCTAATCTCCTCTTACGCTGCATATTACGGAGAAGCAGAGCCCCTTCAGGCCAGCGGGGAGCCTGGCAAGCTCTCCAGAATATTCGACGAGAAACCCCCTCCAAGGGGAGGTGACTCACTGCCCACCTCCCCCAGGGAGGAGATTCGCAGTCCCCGGCCGACCCTGCAGAGTTTGGTCTCGACTTTACCAGGGAGAGTGTCAGGTCTCCTTCCATGTGGAACAGGACCTACTGGTTAACAAGACGTGATTATCTGGCTTGAAACGGACAAGGACAGAGGGCATGGATAGTGCTGCACAACACCTTCAGTCCAGGCTGCAGACTCTTCCAGGAAAGGCTCCCAGGCCTTCACGAGGCACTTTCTTGGTGGCACAGGTCAGCGTGGATGTTCACAGCTGTCTAGCCTGGGCCTGGCCTGCACACAGTGCCTTTGGGCAGCTTCAAGGCAGGAGCAAACGAGGGGTTTCCTGCCTCCTGGGCTAGCTCCTGCGATTTGGCTGGAAGGCCTTCCTGCTTCTTCCTGCCCACCTTGCTGGGAGTCCCAACGACACCAACACCGAGAGTCAGGCACCACCAGAGGGCGGGGACCCGCTGCCCACCCTCGCTTCCTCGGGGCTCCGATGCCAGCAGAGCCATCTAAGCTGCTGCTACCCCTGGCTGGAGGCTGCTTCCCCTGGCCTCTCACCCAGCCACGGCTACATGGGGGCAAGCAGGAGGCGGGAGGAGAGAGATAGGGGGTGGGGGACAAAGACAGAGGATTTCAAACGGGCAACCACCACGGAGATTTCTCACACCTACACAGCTCCACAGTGTGAAAAAGGCTTTCTCACCCTCACTGATCCTCAGTTCCTTGGGAAGCGCTATCCCCTTGTAACGAAAAGGGAAACTGAGGCTCAAGGAGAGGAAGAAACACGCCCCATGTTACCCCATAAGAAGCAGCTGAGCCCAAAGCCAGCGCTGGGGCTGACTCTGGATTCAGTGCTCTTTCCAGGGAACAGGCTGCTTCTACACGTTCAAAGAAACGAAACAAAAATCGGGAAAGCCGGTATCTAACTGACCCCCTGCCGATATTTAATCCACAGTTATATGCTGCCCGCCTTCGCCCACGCTCTCCCATCTGGAGTGCCCTTTCTCCTCCCCTGCTGCCGGCTAGGCCAACCCCCTTTCAGACCCAGCCCGAGCTCCGGTCTCTCCTATGGGCCTGTCCAGGCTGAACCGGAGCCGTCAGCAGCAACATCCTCCGAGCCATGGATCTAGCACACCCCTTTATTACACGGCGCTGCCACGGTGTATTCACACGCTCGTCTCCTCTGAGATGCTCTGGGCTCCCTGAGGCAGAGACGGTGTTTCTTCATCTCTGGACCCACAGCCCAAGCAGGGGACAGGCACAGAGTAGACGCTCAGTCAGTGTTCAGAGAATGAAAGAATGAAAAGTAAAGATTTTCCTTGCAGGGGCCGGCCCCGTGGCTTAGCGGTTAAGTGCGTGCGCTCCGATGCAGGCTGCCCGGGTTCGGATCCCGGGCGCGCACAGACGCACTGCTTCTCCGGCCATGCTGAGGCCGCGTCCCACATACAGCAACTAGAAGAATGTGCAACTATGACATACAACTATCGCCTGGGGCTTTAGGGGAAAAATAAAAAAAAATAAAAAAAATAAAAAAAATAAAAAAGATTTTCCTTGCAAAACGAGCCAGCCTGGCGCTGAAGCCAGGAGGCAGAAGCCTTTCGCGGCCATGGCGGGGCAGGGGTTGGGCACCAGCACACACCAGGCAGGACATTGTGCTAACGCTGGGAGGCGATGCCCTCGACCCTGCAGGAGAGCCCAGGATGGAGAGCCCTCTCAGGGAACCCCCTCATCCCCATGTCCCACTGCCCAGCAGGCCACCTCTGCAGAGAGCTGCTGGGGAGACCTCTGACCCAGCTGAAGCCCCTGAGCGCCCCTCACCCCACTCCCAGGGGCCATGAAGCCCCAGGGCTGCTGCTGTCCCGGTCAAAGCAGGGTTCCCGATGGTGTCCAAGGCACCCCCGTCTTTCAAGAGCACTGTGAAGCAGCATTCTGTGATCAGAGGTGTGGGCAGGCTACAAGCCACACGGCCCCTCTGAAGAGGCCCCCCACACGCTGGCACACTGAAGCTTCTGAGACGACCTGCTGCCAAGACCATCATGTGACTGGGCTCTAACCCAGTGTCTACCAAACCCGTCAGATCACAGAGCCTCACCGCACTTTCACATGGACACCCCCTTTATTTTTCTTTATGAAAAATCTAACATCCTGTGGAAGTGGTGTTCCAAGGAACACACTTTGGGAAACGCTGGTGAAGGTCATCGGGCAAGGAAAACACTGTGGAGGGGAACTGCCTCCTGGCAGCAGGCTGGGGACGTGTGGGGTGAGAAGGGTGATCATGAAGGGGGTCATCACGGCCCAGAAAGGGTGCCAGGGCTCCAGCAACCAGCACATGAATGGCCCGGGAGAAAAAGCCTTAGAACCACTTGACTCCAGTGAGAAGACGAGTGAGGCACCATCCTGAGCCTGTTTTCCCATCTGCAAGATGGGAACTAAGAGCCCTGCTCTGTCTGGGTCCTCACACGAGATCTTGCAGGTCTGCATTTGTGGAAAGCTGAGCCCAGCACAGCTCCTGCGTATCATAGGTGTTCCATCAAACCCACCCGAGTGGATGCTGCACACATACAGGGGTTACGAAAAGAACAGGACGACAGCCCACAGCAGGCACAAAACCTCAATACACAGAACTCGGGGCCATGTGTTTCTGGGGCAAACAACCCTAGGCCTATCGGTAACCTCTGGAGACATCAGTACATTAAAACAGCGAGAATCCCTGGGGCTTCCAGGCTCCAGGAGTCAGTGGAAAGGGCAGGGGCTTGGAAGCCCCCGAGATGCGGTCCTGGGCCTGCTCTGCTCCTCTCGGGCTGTGCACCTGGCAGGCGGCTTCACTCCTCCACGTCCATCTCCCGGATGGGCAGGATGAGGCTAAGCTACGCCAGTCTCCAGGGTAGTGGTGAGGATGGCTGACACTGAGGTCCAGCTGCAGCACACAGCAGGCGCCCCACGACTGTGTCTCCTGAAAGAAGCCTGGGACGTGAGGAACATCTGTCAGGACATCTGTCAGTAACGGCTAAAACAAACCTTTCCTCTCCAGCCACAAGGAAAGTTGGCTTCTGCGGGTGGGAGGATGAGGATGAAGAGGGAAGAGTACCCAGTAGATGGACAGGCAGAGGGAGACCATGACGGGGCTCCGGGCAATGTGGCAACACACCTGCCTCTAAAAGCCGCAGTAGCCACACAGCTGGCCAGCCAGGGCGGGGTGTGAGCTCTGAGCCTGAGTCCAGAGCACACGCTCTTTCCAGTCCACCATGCTGCCCCTTGAGGCTGGCCGTTATTCACGTCTCCTCTCGCCTGTCGAGTCAAGGGTGGGAACCGGCTCTGGCTCGTCTCTGAACCCCCAGCACCCAGAACACGACAGATATGCAGCAAGTGTGGGCCTGATGACTCACTCGCTTGAAAACATTTCAGAAAGCTTCCGGATTTTAAAGTCAGAGCCCCTCTAATACAATATGACATAGTAGAAAACTACATGAGCCAATTCTCTTCTGAGGAACAAAGCATTAATAGGGCGTAGAAGAAATTCCAAATTCTCTGCTTCTTTGCCTAGAAAACGTGAGCACCGAAGTCCTTCCACAATGTACTATATTAGGGTCTGCTGCTCCCACTTAAAGAGCAGAAAACCCTACAGTGATATGGGGTGGGCAGGGTGGAGTATTAGAGCATCCTCTTGCCTAAACCCCCATCTGGCAGATGAGGAGACTAAAGGCCAGAAAGGAGAAGGGTCCCCCAAGATCACACAATCTTTTTTCCTATAGAAAAGGCTGCCTTTGGGGCCAGCCCTGTGGCTTAGCAGTTAAGTGCGCGCACTCTGCTGCTGGCGGCCTGGGTTTGGATCCTAGGCGCGCACCGACGCACTGCTTCTCCAGCCATGCTGAGGCCACGTCCCACATACAGCAACTAGAAGGATGTGCAACTATGACATACAACTATCTACTGGGGCTTTGGGGAGAAAAAGGGAAAAAAAAGGAGGAGGATTGGCAATAGGTGTTAGCTCAGGGCTGGTCTTCCTCAGCAAAAAGAGGAGGATTAGCATGGATGTTAGCTCAGGGCTGATCTTCCTCACAAACAAAAAAAAAAAAGGGGGGGGAAGATGTGGCAGGGAAGGCCAACCTTTCACCAAGACATGCGCTACCCCATCTGTTTGGAGTTGGTTGCTGGGAAGCCACTACCTGAATGGAAACTACATTTCCCAGCCTCCTTTGCATCCAGGTGAGACCATGTGATTACCGGTGGCCAATGGAATGTGAGCAGGAGGAGAAAGTGAAATGTGAGCAGTTAAGAGCAGGCAGTCAAGAGGCTGTGCCTTCTCCACCATCCCTTTCCCCTTCTGCCAGCCAGAAGCGAAGACTCTGAGGCCTTCAGGAATGGCAGAGCCACAAGATGGAAGGAGCTGGGTCCCTGAATCACTGTTGAAACCACCTGCCAGTGGAAGCAGCCATACTGGACCTCACATGAGAATAAGTGTCTGCTGGGTTGGAGTTTGTCACAGCAACAAGCACCACCACCTACTACAGCAGGGAAGGGAGGACGGGCGTTCCGGGCAGAGGGAACAACGTGACAAGGCACAGCGGTGTGACAAAGCAAGGTGTGTCTCAGGGACGGGGAAGAGCAGAGGGTGGCTGCAGCACTGGCTGTGTGAGGCCACACCGGGGTTCAGAGCTCACTCCGGCGACCACAGAAGAAGGATCAAGTACAGGGATTGTTTCCAGGGGCCCTGGTGTTGCTGGCGCTGCTCTCAAAGGAGGAGTGGAAGTTGTGGATGGTTTCCTGCAAAATCTGTCTCTCGCGTCCCTGTGGAGGAAATTGAAAACAGACACAGAAAGTCTTGTTAAATCGTTTAACCATTAATTCAATTGACACCGTGTTGTTAATGCTCAACTCATACTTGAAAACCCAGGGGCGTCTGGGGGAAAATAAATTACTTAACGGAAAGAGTACAGAGTTTAATAAATGCAGACTGAGTCAGAATCTCCCCCAGCACCCACAATCACAGCGGGTCAGGGCTGGAGAGGCCCCTGAGAGGCAGGGTCTGATCCCCCGGATGAGAACAGGGGCAGGGCCAGGACTGACTTGTCCTGGGTCTCACGGCCTGGAAGGGAGGTCTCTGTCCCCGCCTCATTCTGTGTGTCCTTCCAGCCCTCGGATTTCCAGGGAATTCAGTGGGGGGCTGAACTTTCTGCTACAGAGTGAGACTCTGAACTGCCTTTACTACCCCCTGCCCAAAAGACGGACAATTCCTCTTCACAGTGATTCACTTCTCACCCCATCCCTCCAACATCCCCCCACCTGCCCCTTACAAACAAGTTTTGAGATGGGAAAAGAGTAAAGATGTGGACACTTCTTTAAGCTCAGAGACCATTTCACTGAATATGTGGCTGAGAATAAGCGATATAGAGAGGTTAAGAGAGATTGGAATCAAACACCCTGGGTTCAAATGACATCTCTCCCATTTACTAGCTGGGTGACTTTGGGCAAGATACTTCATCTCCTGGGCCTTGGTTTCCTCATCTGTAAAGTGGGGAAAATAACTGTGCCTCAAATGGTCGCTGCTGACATTAGACCCTGTGTGGGCAGCAGGAGGCTGACAGGTCCTACCTTCAGAGGGCAGCAGTGCGGATTAAACATATATTTTTAAAACCAACAAATAAATGTGGTCAAAATGTAAAGCAAACTAAAAACGAATAGTCTCTAGCAGATTCTTCTCTGCTAAGAGTGAAAAGAAAAAAAATTCCACAGAATAAGCACAGACTTCAAACTTTCTCTTCTTTCCTTTCATGGACTCCCCACATCCCCGAGGGGCCCTTTCTAGGCCCCCAAGCAGACACCTCTAATGGTGACGAGACCTCCTAGACACTTGAAGGGGCAGTAAGATTCTCCCTTCACACCAATCCATCCAAGTCGTTTAAGATAAGCTGGAAAAACGCCATCAGGATTCCATCAACACAAACCTGAAGGCCGCAGGGTGGAGGACAGAGCATCAGATGCGGGGTCAGATGACCCCGATCCCTAGGCTACCACCCGCTCTCCCCAGGCGTGACACCCGCTGCTGAGTGTCCGTATCTGTGAAATGGGGATAACATCGCACACTGGGGCTGGGATGAGGCTCGACCTGAGACAATGAATGGGGTGACACTGTGCAAGCTGCAGACGGTACAACATAGACAGAAGGGATGACAGCATGTCATTATTAACCACCACTTCAGTCTTAACTGCCTGAGAAGTGAGGTCAGGGCGAGACAGGGCTCCCCCTCTCTGCCTCCTAACCTCAGGAGGGAGCCGCGGAGCATGAGAACCATACCGGCTCCCACATCCACAACAGACTGGAGAGGAGAATGGTAGCTGTCCTTCAGAAACCCTGAGTTCCAAAGACCTGCCTGATCATTCTCAAAAGGAAAAAAGCACATGGCCATTAAAGGGGGGGAAAGTGTTCAGTCAATCCAGGAGTTAAAGGAATACAAATTAAAAGAAGGCACATTTTTTGGCCTATCAAATTAATAAAAATTAAAAAACACACTGACAGTGCTCAGTACCGGCCAGGGAGCAGCGACACCGAAACTCACATCACAGCTGGTGGGGACATTCACTGGCTCTTCCTGGACAGTAATTCAGGAAGAAGTACCATATACCTTGATGTAGACTCTTTGACTCCATAATTCCACTTTTAGACATCTATTCTGAGGGGATAATTACAATGCCTTATACACAAAGTTACCCACAGCAGCTCTATTTATAGAAAGTTTGGATATCTACAAATCCAACAAGAAGGGATTAAAAAAATAATTTTGGTACATCCATGCAAATTTATTATATTAAAAAGCTCGTAAGACATGGGTAACTGCATATACTTAACGTTAAATGAAGAAAGTAGGATGTAAAATTACAGATCCAAATTTACGTCAGCCACGTAAAGAAAAACATTTGGCACGAAACACTGCAGAGTGATCTTCCCAAATGTGAACAGCATTGGCCTCTGGGTGGCTGGGTCGTGATTTCTTTAAAAATATTTTCACCAGGCCGGCGCCATGGCTTAGCGGTTAAGTGCGGGCGCTCTGCTACTGGCGGCCCGGGTTCGGATCCCGGGCGCGCACCGACGCACCGCTTCTCCGGCCATGCTGAGGCCGCGTCCCACATATAGCAACTAAAAGGATGTGCAGCTATGACATACAACTATCTACTGGGGCTTTGTGGGGGGGAATAAATAAATAAAATCTTAAAAAAAACAATATTTTCACCTTTTTGGTACTGTGCAAATTTAGTAAAATGAACATGCACTGCTCTGATAATCACAAAAAGTGGGAATAAAAAGAAGCAAAGACTTAGGACCAACTACAGGTGAAACTCACATCATCATTTCTGGTTAACCTTCTCCAACATATAACTCATTTTTTAAAAAAAAATTTTTAAATTTTATTTATTTTCTCCCCCAAAGCCCCAGTAGATAGTTGTATGTCATAGCTGCACATCCTTCTAGTTGCTGTATGTGGGACGCGGCCTCAGCATGGCGGGAGAAGCGGTGCGTCGGTGCGCGCCCGGGATCCGAACCCCGGCCGCCAGCAGCAGAGTGCGGGCACCCAACCGCCAAGCCACGGGGCTGGCCCGCAACGTGTAACTCATTTGAAACTAACCAACTAACAAGCAGACTCAGGTACATATCACAACTCGAATACTAAGGCGGGCTCACCCGGAAGTTACACTGCTTGCAGGCTGAGGGTCCACAGCACTTTGCTGATATTTTTATGGCTGAGCCAGGTTTTTGGTTAATATTCATTTAAAAAAAATTTTAGGCTAAAATGTTCAAACTTTTGATTGTATAAGAAATACATTTTATATCATAACCCTGTTACATGTAAATATATACAACTGAAACAAGTTTTACCTTCCTACCTGGAAAGAATGTTGATATTTTCTACTCTATTCTGTTTTGTTTTTTAAAATGCTGCTCCCGGGCTGGCCCCGTGGCGTAGCGGTCAAGTGCGTGGGCTCCGCTGCTGGCGGCCCGGGGTTCGGATCCTGGGCGCGCACCGACGCACCGCTTCTCCGGCCATGCTGAGGCCACGTCCCACATACAGCAACTAGAAGGATGTGCAGCTGTCACATACAACTATCTACTGGGGCTTTGGGGGAAAAATAAATTAAAAAAAAAATTAAAATGCTGCTCCTGAGCCACTGAATTGATTCCACGACCCTCCAGCATGCTGTGGGCCACAGCTAGGAAGGCTGGTGGGCTAGGAAAGCTGGCCTCCCCTCTCACGTGTCCTGGTCTGGGTTCTCGCGTACAGAACATTTGAGCCACAATGGGTACTCTCTTGGCCGAGGGTAGGTTGCAAAAAAAAAAAGGATGAACATTAGAAGGGGAAGCTGGGGCCCTGCAGCAATCAAGGAAGAGGCAGGAGCGCCTAAAGTCGGGTCAGGCAGGTCCAGTCCAGAACAGCCAAGGCCCAGGGCACCCAAAGGCCATCCACAGGGCTTGTGGAGGCCACACTCAGCCTGAGGACTTCTTTGCTCTAAGAACCAACACATAGTTGCAACAGTGACATGAGGTAGTGAAGACACACTTGCTTTTGTAATAGTAAACTTGTCCCAATCACCTCTTTGCTCTACGACACACTAGGACACAGGGCCCTCACTTCCACAGGACGTGTCTGGTACTACTGACCCTCGAATAACAGGGCCTCTCTCCAGCGATCGGTTCGGCTCGGCTCCTTCCCCTGCACCTATTTCCACGTAGAATCGCCTGACCTTGCAAAGTGGATGCTGCCTGCGGGCAGGACATGGGTGGGCTCAAGTGGTCCCCCTGGTCTGGCATGTCAGAAGCACCTGAGTCTTCTGGTTGGGAGCTGGGAGCTGGGGCCCCCAAGGAGGACACATGTTACTGACTGAATACTGTGTCCCCCCAAAACTCATAAGTTGAAATCCTACCCCCAATATGATGGTGTTAGGAGGCGGGCCTTTGGGAGATGATCAGGTTTAGATGAGGTCACAAGGGTGAGGCTCCCACGATGGGGTCAGCGTCCCTGTGAGAAGAGACGAGAGAAAGCTTGTTTCTCTGTTCTCTGCTGTGTGAGGCTGCAATGAGAAGCTGGCAGGCTGCAACTTGGAAGGGGACGCACCAGAACCGACCCTGCTGGCACCCCGCCCTTGGACTCCCAGCCTCCAGGCTGTGAGAAATGAATTTCTGTTGTTTACAAGCACCCAGCCCGTGGTCCTTTGTTACGCTGCCCGAACTACGACAACCACCAACAGCTGTCACTTCTGCTGCTCTTGACGGGGAGCGTCTAGTACAGGATGCGAACTGTTACAGACACAGGGAGAAGGGAGCGATGAATCTGAGAGAAAACTAAACAAATGTTCCAGTCTGCACAGACTTTAAGAGAACTGTCCTCCTTCAGAGTGGGCTTGAGATGTCACATCATCCACTCTGATGATGACAGCGAAGTTTCCTAAGATCTGCAAACTAGCCCAGTCTGTCTTCTTTCTGTGATTCTGGACCAAGGAGGCCATGACCACCAAGGACAGAGGGGAGGTTCCAGAAGCATTAACAGTTGTCATCTACCAAGCCCCAGACCAGGCTCTAGAGGCACCCCGCTCCTTCCTGTCCTCCCCCGCCCTCCCCGGGCCTCACGGGCCCTACATCCAGAACCTTGTCTGTCCTTCTTCCTCGACTGGCCTAAGCTTGGCTTTCCCCACCTCTATCCTCTCCTTGGCTCACATCTGGTCCTTGGAGGCCAGGAGGAGGAAGGGTCCTAACTCCTGAGCCACAGCCCCCACCATCATCCACCTACTCCCCTCCCCAAAGCCCTCGCCATGCCACTTGACTGGGTCACCCTCGACCACCCTGGGAGCCTTAATCTTCCCCTCTGGCCTCCCCTCACACCACACATCTTGCTCTCTATGCTCCAGCCACTTTTAGTTCTTTAAATGCACGACATCTTCTCACCACAGGACCTTTGCACATGTGCTTCCCTCTGCCCAGTTTGTACTTCTACCCTTTCCGGAGTGGTTCCCATCTTCCTTCAGATCTCAGCCCTCCTGCCACTTCCTTGGGAATGTCTTCCAGGCCCTTGCCTTTCCAGACCCCACTCTAAGTCAGAGCTCTTACAACACAACATGCCTCTCCTTTACATGTGCTTGTGGGTTACACTGAGGCAGTAGAGCAGAGCGGTCAGGACACAACTCGGGGTTCTAATCCTGGCCCTACCACTTACTGGCTATCTGATCTTAGGCCAGTTCCTTAATCTCTCCGTGCCTCAGTTTCCTCCTTTGTAAACTGGAACTGACCTCAGCGGCTCTGGTGAGGGTTAAATGAATAACCAGATGTGATGCGCTCAGGGCAGTGCTGGGCACAGAGTGATGCTCGGTGTCTGGGACACGGCAGAGAGTCACAGGCTGTTTTTCACGAATACATCAGTGCTCGGAACACTCTGTGCTTGCTGCAGCTGACCCCCACCCTGTGAGCGCCCTGGGCTTCAGGCCCTGGGTAAGCCCTTCCTCACAGCCGAGACCTCACCTCCAGCAACCGCCATGCCTGCTGCTCTGAACTCCCCGCCCCTCCCGTCTAAGGGCAGAGCAGAAAGGGGGCTGGTCTGGGGTTAGGGGTCACTGCCCACCTCTGAGTCTCAGCTTCCCTATTTTCTTTTTTTTTTTTTAGGAAGATCAGCCCTGAGCTAACATCCACACTAATCCTCCTCTTTTTGCTGAGGAAGACCGGCCCTGAGCTAACATCTTATATTGCCAGTCCTCCTCCTTTTTTTTTTTTCCCCCCTAAAGCCCCAGTAGATAGTTGTATGTCATAGTTGCACATCCTGCTAGTTGCTGTACATGGGACGCGGCCTCAGCATGGCTGGAGAAGCGGTGCGTCGGTGCGCGCCCGGGATCCGAACCCGGGCCACCAGTAGCAGAGCGCGTGCACTCAACCGCTAAGCCACGGGGCCGGCCCCTCAGCTTCCCTATTTTCAAGTGAGGTGGCCCGGGGCCCTGGAACGGGTGAGCAGTGCTTAGGAGCAGGCCACCACAGAGGAGAAAGGACAAACAGCACAGACTTGAGGAAAAGTGCTCAGCCTTGCACACACCTAAAGCCGTGCTAATTAAATCACATTGAGGGACCATCTCACAGCCTATAGACAGGTAAAATAATAATAACAATGACGGCAACAGAAACAACCACCCCCAGTCCTGGCGGGGCCGGGAGGAGCCGCCTCTGCACAGGTGGTGCTGCAGGAGGGGCTGGGTACAGGTCCTGCCTCCACCGCTCACCCACCGCGACCTGGGCATGCCAGCCCCCCCAAAGCCTGCTCCCTCACCAGCTGGACAGGGGAGGAGTGGGGAACCGGCCCCCTGGATTAACTGAGGAGATGTATGTGGAGTGGTCGGTGAATTATGAAGTGCTACATGAATATTTATCTGCTGTTGGTGCGACAGGTCTGTTCAATATTTCTGTGTGTACTCGGCAATAAACAGAAAGAACCATAAAACCGGTCATGCTCTCTGACATAACTCGTATTGTGGAACACTACGACGAACAACAAAAGGAAGAGGAAAGAGGCCGAGCTGTCTATTATGGTACTATTCACCACGGCACAACCCCAGACATGGCACCGTCGTCCAGCCAGTGGGAGCTGTCAGGCCAAGTGTGAGAAGCAACAGGTAATCAAGGATTTTACTTCGTTGCTGGAACGAGAGCAGAAAAATCCAGCCATATTAGGGGAAGAAGCAGAAGGCAACGGCGTGTGAACAGCCCAATGGCGACTGAACAACTGTTGTCTGTGGAGTGAGTGGCGCTGGGCTCTCTGTGTGTTGCGTCTGCCCGTTTGCCTCTGCACACGTGCCTTTGAGGGGGCACTGCTAACCTCTGGCTTCAAAGCTGATAAACAGAAATTTAACATTAGACAGACATGCAGAAGTGCAGGATGCCAACAATAACAACAGCGACTGACGGACCTGTGTGTGCCAGGTGCTCTGCTAAGCATTTTAGTCCTGGCAACAAGCCCACCACCCCCACCCTACAGACGAGGAAAGCGAGGCTCAGAGAGGTGTGTGGCTTCCCGGGTCACACAGCAAGTACGTGGATGAGCTGGGATTCAAAGCCGGCTCAGCCTGACTGCAGGGCCTGTCTTAATCAACGGCCCTGCTCCCACTGTGCTCCGGAGAGCAACACCCAGCCCTGGCGGTTAAAATTACTGGAAGGAATATTTTAGCTGTATCTAAGGAGAAACAACCTTATAGGAAGAGAGATCTGGAAAAGGAACAGGCCACACTGGGAGGTAGTGAGCGCTCTGTCACGAGAAGTGTGCAAGCACGGCCGGCCTCCGCCAGGTGTGGTGGAGGAGATGAAACTGGACCACAAAGGTCCTTGTGAAGCTCTCAGCTGTGTGAAACAGGAAGAAAAGATGAGGAACAATACCTTGCCTGCGTTCAGTTCAGAAATCGCGGCCAGAATCTGCTGTCTGGACCCATCCGTCTTAATCCCCAGCTCCTTCAAGTCGCCGTCGGTGAGCGTGAGGAACGCTTCCATGTCCACCTGGGGAGGGAAGGGGGATTCGCGACAGCTGCCTGACGCCGCACCTCTCTTCTCCAAACCACAACAGAAACGTCATGATTATGAGCTATCAGCGCTCATTAGTAAGGAATTACTTCTGATTTACTACTTCCAATCCCTGACTTTAGGCTGCAAGTTTAGTTGAAAATATCATTAAGAACTAACTCTCTGCAGCTCTAGCTCTGGGATTTTCAGGACAGGTGCATTTTGGAAAGACCCTGAAATGAAACAAGGAAGGACAGTCTCTGAGACAGGGATCTGGGTGCCTCGAGTCCTGCTGTCACAAAGTCAATGCCAGTGTTGCTGCACTTGCAACAATACTGGCTACTGCACAGAAAATGCGGGTACATAGCAGTAGTCACCACGCGTCCCCCCAAGAGGACAAGAGAGATGCAGACTGTGGAAAGACAGAGAGAAAATAAATAAGCAGAAACAACAAAGGAAAGAAGGGCCACAGAGAACCAGGGCAGAGAGGGGCTCAGAACAATGGTATCGCAAAGCTGCGCAATCCTGGACTCCTACAGGAGAAATCCTAACATTTCTGTCATCCCTGCCTGCACAGGATGACACTTCCCCCATCTCTCCTTCTCTCTTTTACTAGTCACTTTACTTTCCTCGATTAAAAAAAATCTTGCCAGGGCTGGCCCTGTGGCACAGTGATTAAGTTCGGCATGCTCCACTTCGGCAGCCTGGGGTTTGTGGGTTCAGATCCCAGTTGCAGACCTATACCACTGGTCAGCCATGCTGCAGTGGCGACCCACATACAAAATAGAGGAAGACTGGCACAGATGTTAGCTCACGGTGAATCTTCCTTAGCCAAAAAGGAAAAAAAAAAAATCTTGAACCAGGTTTGAGTCCGTGGGGAAGGGTCTGCTCCCTTACCCAGCCCCAAGCTCCCTCTGAGGAGCAGGCATCTCCTGCCTCTCTGACGATGATAAGCTCAGCACCCTCTGGGGCTTTACAGCTCACGAGATGCTGAGGGCTGAACGAATGGGTGATGTGGTTTGAGGGACACGACCTGCCCCCGCCGCACAGTCCCCTCTCGCCCCATCCCAGACCCGCGGCAGAGACCCCACCCCCTGCTCCTCAGAGGGCACGGAACAGATAACAAAGCAGGCAGCCATCAGCAAACAGGAAAGATTTCTTGACAATGAGAAAAATCACGCTGAAGTTTAAAAGGGCAACGAGGCAGGCAGGACAGACTGGACAGAGCAGAAAGCAACCAAGGGAGGAAGCCATCGCACCCCTGTCTGTTTCTTCAACCAAAATACAAACTCCTTAACTGCGTCTCAAGCTTGTTGGGGACAATGAGTGAGTCTCATGATTGCTACTGTAATTATGACAGTCGTCATGCACTAAACTGGGCACCAGTGATTACACCTGGTGGCTAGTGGACCCATAGAGGAGTTTTATTTGGCCAAAACAGTAAATTTCTTAATAGCTTATTGAGATGTAAGTCACCCACCATAAAATTCACCCATTTAAAGTGTACAATTCAATGATTTTTAGTACATTCAGAGCTATGCAACCATCACCACACTCAATTTTAGAACATTTTCATCCCCCTAAAAAGATAACCCATACCCATCAGCAATGACTCCCATCCCCGGCAACCAGTAATCTACTGTCTCTACAGATTTGCCTATTCTGGACATTGCATATAAACGGAATCAGACCATATGTGGCCTTTTGTGACTGGCTTCTTTCACTTAGCATAATGTTTTCAAGGTTCATCCACGTCGTAGTATGGATGGGTATTGCATGCTTTTTATGGCCACGTTATATTCCATTGTATAGAGATAACACATTTTATTCATTCATTCATCAGCTGATGGACATTTGGTCTATGATCTATGGAATCTGAGTACAGGTTTTTGTGTGGACATGTTTTCACTTCTCTGGGTTTATACCCAGGAGGGGGATCGCTGGGTCACAGGGTAACTCTGTTACCACGTGTTTAACATTTCGAGAAACTGCCAAACTGCAGAACAGTAATTTCTTTTAAATGTGACTGTGAGTGCTCTTAAGCAATAGGAACTCTCTCAGATTAACACACTCTATATCCAGACACTTAACACACGTTCATTAGGATTTGCTTGTGATCCACTTTAAACCTAAAACAGCCCACCAGTCAATCCCCTTCAACTAAAGTGCATGCAGGACAGACACAAACTTTACCAGAGAGAGCAGTGCTCAAAATTACAAATCCTGTGATCACAAAACAAGCCATAGGCCCCCAGAATCTCACTGTTATGAACCGAACCAAAGGTGCTGAACACGAATCCTACTTCCTTAGCTGTCTCAGTGAAAAAGATCAATCTAGGCTTGCAGAATGAAAACCTACATATTTAGACAATTTTCTCTTACAGTAAGATTTAAATTGACATTCAAAAAGAACATCCTTACCTCCTGCTCCTCAAAAATGGGCTGGTATTTCTCAAGTGATAACTTCTTAAGGATTCCAGTTAATTCATCTTCAAGAGGGAAAGAGGTGAAAAAACATACATTAGAATCTGGTAAAATGTACCAAGAGTGGTCATCTTCAGACTTTCATAAGGTAGGGGTAATCTTATTTCAAATGAGATTCTACCAGAAACCCCGACACAGCGGCAGATCTAAGCTGTGCTCCCGCGGGTGAAGCTGGAGGCGGATCCCGAGCCGCCTGTCAGCCATTCTTCCCTCGGGGCAGCCCTCGGCACCTCCCGGAACCCCAACTCAGGCTGTGAAGTCAGAGACAGGGAGGTTCACGGCCAGGCTGACACTCCAACCGCTGTGACCACCAAGTTCTTAAGTTCTAGCTGCTGGGACTAAAACTCCGTCTTCTGTGTATGAACAGTTTTTAATTACAATTCCTTGCGAGCTGGTAGCTGGGCCCGCAGTAAATGCTGATGCCGGCGTTAGAACTGAAAAGATGGCCAGGTGGGCTTCAGCTCAGAGACAGGGTCTGCCTCAGGCGTGCAGAGGCTGTGGGCTTTCCGAAGGAATGACACATCTGAGTGGGACAGCAGAGCCAGAGGGGCACAGAGCAGGGGAAAACAGAAGATTCAGGGTATCAAGGTATGAGAGCACAGAGCATAAAGAAAGGAGGCAAGACCGGCATCTGGGGGCTTGAAGAAATATTCATTCACACATTCAATAGGGATCTGCCAGACTAGGCAGTGGGGACTCAATAGGGACCAAAATAGACAATAAGGAGGCTGACAGGCCCAAGGCAGCAAGGAAGAACAGAGTGGGGAGGGGCAGCTGATGGGAAATGGGAGAATGTTATTTTATAGAGGGTAGTCAGGGAAAGCCTCTCTTATAAGGTGACACTTGAGCAGTAAATGAAGGAATGAGCTGTGCAGATATCAAGGGAAAGAGCAACAGGCAGCACCCAGGCAGAGGGAACAGCAAGTGCAAAGGTCCTGGGGCAGTGGGTGCAGCTCACAAAAGAGTGGACTGCAGGTTAGGAGGCCTGAGTTCCTTTTTTAATTAATTCATTCATTCCATAGTGGCTAACAATGTGCCTACTACATGATGGGAATGCAAGGATGGAAAGGTCTGTGCTGAGAAGGAGCTCAGTGGCTGGGAAGATATAATGAAGAACGTGACAGCTGATGCACAGTGCTCACCATCAGGCACCCTGTACAGCGATGACCTGCTTGCTCTTTACAGAGCAACCTCATGAGATAGACCCTATTACTGTCCCCATTTACAGATGAGGAAGTGAGGCACAGAAAGGCTGGGTACCATATCTTGGGTGAGGTCATACCGCTGGTCCATGCAGAGCAAGGACTCAAACCCAGCGGTCTAGCTGCCAGGGCTGTGCTATGCCCCCTGCTCTCCCACTTCTCCTGTTGGTGATGGGCGCTACTGTGAAGGGCATGAACAAGGGGACCTGGGGACAGAGAGGACAGCTGACCAGCCCAAGGGCCTGGAGAAGGCTTCACAGAAGAGCTGCCACTGAGCTAGGATGTATGAGATGCGCCAAGTCCCAGTCCACATATAACCCATGCTGGTTTCATGACACCATCCTCTGCTCCTGCTGTTCCCTCCACGAGTCTCTCTCCACAGTGGTGTGTTGGTAAATGTTTCACAACTGGCTCTCCAGGGGGAATGCATGCATGTATATGGGAACGTAAGTTGAGGGCAGATTTTACTGACACAAAGGATGTGTAGCACACAATCTACATATAACAATAAATTATATAATACTCTTTATTATAGATTCCAGGTAGCCAATGCTTTCATTGCATCTCAGGCATCTCACTGAACGCCTTCACTGATTTTTGCCCTACTCTTGTACCCACAGCCAATGAGTATAGCTCCAACATGACTGCTGGTTGATCGTTCCGTTTACATGAACATGTAAGATGAAATGAAACAAGGAAGACGTATGCTGGAACTTCATGGGAGCAACTCTGCTGAATCAGATAACGGTTTTCAAACCCTGGAAGAATATCTTCTCAATTTTTTGTGCTATTCACAATATAACAGACATGACACTGTTTTTTTTGTGTGTGTGTGAGGAGATCAGCCCTGAGCTAACATCTGCCAATCCTCCTCCTTTTTTGCTGAGGAAGACTGGCCCTGGGCTAACATCCATGCCCATCTTCCTCCACTTTATATGGGATGCCGCCACAGCATGGCCTGATAAGCAGTGTGTTAGTGTGTGCCCGGGATCTGGACCAGCGAACCCGGGCTGCCGCAGCGGAGCACACACTTGCGCCACCGGGCCAGCCCCTCAGACGTGACACTTCTAAGTTTCACCTGCATAATTAACATTGCCTCCATCACTTCTAGATTACTTGAAGACGATCTATAAAACAATAAATCAAGACCTGATTGGTGGTGGTTGCTGATTTCTATGGTGTAAATATCCCCATCGTGGCCGATTTTAAGCTACCAACATAACGTTCCTGAAAGTGAAACTGGGAAGAGATGCAGAGCAGTAACATCATTCATTATATAGTATTCCCACCATATTGATAAAAGAGATGTAAATAACCTCAAGAGCACAGATATTAGTAAAACGCACTAAAAAATTAGTAAATAATACATTTTGTTTTAAATACCACATACCATTATATTTAATATAATTTATTCTAAGTTCAAGTAATTTGACTTTTTCTTTTTTTGTCTTTTTTATACATATTTTTTGTCATTGTAATTTGACTTTTAATAGCTGTGTTTAATCATCGGCTTGTAGATTTCCTGTAAATTTAACAATGGACTCTGGACCACCACGGCCCCAATTCTTCTCAGCCCTTGTGGCCCAGCCTGAACGCCTGCTCTACGGTGAAGCCACCCACGGCGCTCCGTGCTGTGCTGCTAACTTGATCTATCTTGTGTTACAATCATTTAATGTTACTATGTTGAATGCATCTGACTCCCCAGCCCGACTGTGTTATCCCAGCACCCAGCACAGGTTATGACACCCAGTGCCCGCCCAAGAAGCCTTCACGGAGGAAAGTGAGGCTGAAAAGGCGACGTTGTCACAGGCCTCACCACTTCCAGCAGGATAAGGAGGAGTCCAGAGAGAGGGATGCAGGTGGGAAGATGGGCGGGGCATGCAGTTCTCGACTGGGGCCACATGACTCCCACAAAAGCATCATAAAGAATAACCATTTGAGGATGGTTTGCAGGTCTGTCCTGCAACAATCTAATCCCACAGGACAAAGGTTTGCAGCCTCAGGACCCAGGAACCCCATAGGGAAACTAGGCTTTCTAAGCCAGAGAAATTAACCTGAAAAGAAATCATTGTAGAGTCTTCCTGTTTTCACCCCAACCAGGGCTCTGCAAACCATTTTTACAGTGAGCGAGAGGGAAGCAGAGTGGGCATGGACAGTGCATACAGATATCCACTCTCACAACCTTTTCTTGGAAAAAGGTGGGGTACAAGTCCCTAACTGAACTTCTGGGGCTCGGACTCCTGAAAGCCTCCGAGGTGGGAGAACCACGGGTAGGGAATGACGATCCCACAGAGAACACACGGTCAGGGAGGAATGGGGCCGCTGGTGAATCTCAGAAGCTTTGCAAATGATCACACTAGATATCACAGAACAAACAAAGAGGATGCCGACGGTGGCGTGTGCTTCTCAGCTCAGTCCAGACCAGAGCCTGTGCCGCTGGGCAGAACCTGCTCGCACCTTCCTCTGGGCAGCTGAGGTGAGACATCGGCAAACACGTCTGTGAGGCCGGCACACCCAAGGAGGTGTCCCTCCCTCTCCGATTCACGCAGGCTCCTGGATTTGCACCTGCCTGGGCCAGCTCTCAGAAGCTCCGCTCCCTCCTTCCCCCTCCCCACACCCATAGGCCACCAGAGGGCAGTTTTAAAGGATGAGGTTCTTCTCTGCATCTCCCTTTATCTTTCATATCTTCAGACCCTTATCTGAGGCCTCACTGCAAGGCCTCCACTCCCGCCTGCCGTTCCCCCATCTTCCTCTCCTCCTCATCCTCACGGGAGGGGCTTGCACTCACGCGTGCAGGTTCCAGAGTTCTCCTGGCTGCAGTGGACATCTACTGCTTTTCTGGCCCAGCCTCCATCCCCTCCTCCTTCTGGAAATAGCACTTTTCCTGAGGGGCCACTTCTCTCCTGCTCCCAGTCCACACAGTGTCAGAGGGCAGACCCTGACCCCAGGCTCCAAAGGCAGACATGACCTGGGCGTGGCTGATCAGCACATTCCACCCCCGTGGACACAGAAATAGTCAAGGATAGGCAAATGACCCAAGTTCTTAAAAATATAGCCAAGGCAGGCCAATGACCTTTGCCCCTGGGATTTTACTGGACCTACTAAGAAAGCAGCACTCTTTCTGCTGGGGTTGCTCAGTTAGTAGGAAGAGAAAGTCAGCCTGAAGCTGCTGGGGCACATCCTTGTCACTCCTTGGAGAGAGCCTACCTCAGACATGAAAAGCACCTGGATCCAGACATGCCTGAAGCACACCCTAGACACTCTCATTACGTGAGCCAACAAATTATCAGCTTTTTGTTTTTGTTTTTGCTGAAACCAGTTTGAGTGGCAATTCCATCACTTGCAACTGAAAGAATTCTGATTTATTTCAGGGAAAGGTACACAGCTGGAAAAGCATTTCTACAGGTGTACGTTTGTGTATAGAAACAAAACTTACCTACATTCAAAAACTATTTGAGGGAGCTTACCATACCTTTAGCACAGCAAAGGCCAAAAAACAAGAAAGACTCCAGGAAGGGGCAGGATAAGTGTTTTTGTTTGTTTGTTTGAAACAAAAACCCCTGACCTAGGATGGCTATAGCAATGAAGGGCACCTGCCAGGTCCCCACGGCTAAGAGGAGGGGGTGGGCTCTCAGGACCTTGGGGGACTCACCCTCGTCCGTGATGGTGCCACTGCTGGAGCCCCCGCTGCTCTTGGACTGCCGGTGGGACGACGAGGAGGACAGCGAGGACTCAGCTGCGTGACCTTTGGGTGACGGGGAGGGCGTGAGGGTGGGGGAGGTGCTTTTGGACGTAGTGGAGGTTCCAGACGGGGGCCTCTTGCTCGTCTCCGGTTTCTGCAGAAAAGAATAAGGCAAATTCATAAGCCACCACCTGGAGGGCAGAAATGATTAAAACAGACGCCCACAACAGGGAACACGGATGATATCTGACTCAACAAGATATCTAGCCAGGACTACAGAATCTACTTAGAAAAACGTGCAAAGCAGAAACAGCATTATCGGAACAGGTACAGGAAAACCCTCCCCTGGAGCAGAGGGGCAGGGGACAGGATGGAAAATGCGGCCCACGACGTCAGGAAACCCGGGGACCAGTCCTGCGCCCACCAGCATCGTGTCCGCAGCCAGGTCCCCACCTCTCAGTTAACCTGGCTCTAACACGGAGTGGGGCTCACACACACACAAAGCCCCTTTCTGCTCCTGATATCCCTTCATCTAAACCTGTCACTTCCAACCTTTCACCAAAGGACACATTATTTTTTCCTGTTTTTCGTGTGTGTGTCATTTAGCTTTAAAAAAAAACAAAAACGTTTTTTCATTTTGAAATAATTTTAGACTTAGAGAAGAGTTGCAGACAGAACAGAGCGCTCCTGTGCAGCCCTTAGCCAGCTCCCCTGATGCTAACATCTTACATAATCACAGCATGATTAGCAAAACTGAGAAATTAACGTTGAGACAACACTATTAGCTAAACTACAGACTTCACTCGGATGTCACCCGTTGTCCCACTAACGCCCTATTCTGATCCGGGACCCGCTCCAGGAGCCCACGTTGCATGGACCCGTCACATCCCCTGGTCTCCTCCAATCTGCCAGCTCCTCAATCTTGCCTTGTCTTTCGTGACCTTGACACTTTTGAAAAGTCCTGGTAGGTATTGGCAGACTGTCCCTCAGTTTGGGTTTCTCTTCTGTTTTCTCACCATTAGATTTGCTGATGGATTTTTGGGTTGATGACCACAGAGGTGATGTGCCATTCTTTTTTTTTTTAAAGATTTTATTTATTTTATTTTTTCCCCCCAAAGCCCCAGTGGATAGTTGTATGTCGTAGCTGCACATCCTTCTAGTTGCTGCATGCGGGACTCGGCCTCAGGATGAACGGAGAAGTGGTGCCTCGATGCGC